CCTCTGGCCCAGCCCCAGCCCCCCCCCTTGCTTGTATATTTCACTTTACCCAGTTTCAAAGTATATTATTTACTGTTAAATACCACAACAGCATATTATCTTATCTCTAATATCACTAATAATTCATATAAATAATTTCTGGCCAACCTTTAGCACTTTGTAACTTATTCCTATTACAGTATCCTATTTTAAAGCATATCAATTACTCCTAAACTACACATCACGATATTTTCTAATTTATAGGCATCCATAACACCAAACAAAGCAAAACAAAATGAAACAAAAAAAGGCAATATCAGAAACAGAAAAAAGGCACTATCAAAAACAGAAAAATCGTCTTATACACATATACACTGATACATCAACAGTCCTTAATCTCATTTCTCCTTCCCATTTGAACTTATATTTATAACATACAACTTAACTTTGTCACCTATCAGTATATATTATTTACTGTCAACATTATACCATACTTCCACTTACATCTATATTCAACTCAACTTTTCTCATTTAAAATAATATTTTATATCTCTTACATTACCCATTCCCAAGTATAGTATTTGCAATTGAACAGCTTAACAACATATTTCTTGTCTATAAAGAACAAAGGAAGAAAAACAAAGAAACAATCTAAACCAAATCAAATCTTTGAGAGATAATTAAAATATAAGCCAAGGTTCATTTCATTTATACATATATGTCCCCTCTAATCAATTTTTAATAATTAAGTTTATAACCTACAACTTTGATGTTACCCTATTTCAACAGGGAAATAAAAAGCAAAAAAAAAGGAAAAGAAAGGCTAACAACTATTTATCAGCACAGCAATATATTTTCTTATCTACTCAATTTCAGAAAATATTTCATCATAATCAATCCTTAATTTCATTTCTCATTCAGACTATCACCAAATAATACCTATTTATCTGGAAAGAAACTCCTAAAAAAACATATAAAGTTCATTTGTCAGTCTTAATCCTTAAATTCACATTCAAACAACCCTGAAACTGAACCAGATGAAATACAAATATCCCCCAAGCATATAACTTGATTTTCTTCCTATAGGTCTGTAATTTTCTTTTCTTCACAAGCATGACCAAATGTCTAATTTCTTTGAACAATTTCACAATCTTATTATCTCTAATAGTTAGCCATTTGCTGTCTCTTGTACTCTCCGCCCCCCATTTTCTTTCTTTCTGTAAGCCAAAGTTTTTGGAAGCCTCTTTTTACCAACTTTAGCTTCACAAAACCAGGTCCCTTCGTTTTCTTTTGGCTTTTTCTCTTCTCATTTTTTTAAATACCTTTTACAAACTCCCTCTTTTTCAGTCCAGTCTTTATGTAGTTTCTTCTTGTTTCCTTTTGGTTACTCTTTTGTTCATTATAATTTTCCAACTTTATCCTGGGAAGGGATTGTCTATCCAAAGCCAGTTTCTCTTCATACAAAGTCTCTTCTTCTGCATCATCCTATTTTGCACCAACTTTTCCTCATTGTCCTCAGTTGTGTGCACATCCTTCTTACTTCCAAACATGCTCTGACAAGCTTCTTCAATCCCCCTTTGCATCGCCTCCATAAGTATTCTCCGAAATTGTTCAACAGATATTTCTCCAAGTTCTATGTTTCCCTCCGACAGGGGGGCGCAATTTGTTTCCAAGTTTTGTGGGGAATTGTTAAAACTCATGGGAGTTGAATGGGCCATGAGTAGCGCCTATCATCCAGAGACTGATGGACAGACCGAACAAGTGAATCAGACTTTGGAACAATATTTGTGTTGTTTCACCAATTACCAGCAGGATGATTGGGTAGACTTACTTCCCCTAGCTGAATTTTGCTATAATAACACATGGCACTCCTCTACTGGAATGTCCCCGTTCAAAGCGCTCTATGGCTATGACAGCCCTCCGTTGCCGTTTCTCGAGGGAGCTACCTTGGGTCCGGGAGATGCTGCACAGTGGTGTCAACAACTTTAAGACTCTTGGCCTCTATTATGTAAGACATTGGAAGCGGCCAAAGAGGCTTACAAGGCTCAGGCTGACAAGAGAAGGGTGGAGGGATGGGCTCTGCAGCCTGGGGAGTTGGTGTATGTTTCTACAAAAAACATTAAGGTGTTGAGACCCAGCCGCAAACTGGGTTGGAAGTTCATTGGCCCATTTAAAATCAAACGCCTGATCAATATCCATTCTGTGTTTCATTTCAGCCTCCTGAAACGGGACCCAGGCCCAAGCTCTTGGCAGCCAACAAAGCCTGTACCCTCCTATCATGGTGGAGGGCAAAGAACATTTTGAGATCTCCAAGATCCCGGACTCTAAAGTTAAACGTGGCAAACTGTTTTATTTGGTGGAATGGTTGGACTTTGGACCCCAGCACCACGAATGAGTGGAAGTAGGGAATATTCGGGCCCCTAGGCTCTTGCAAGAGTTTCACCCGGAGTTCCCAGGGAACCCGGGAGATATCCTGGACTAACCGGGAGATCTCCCGGGCGGGCCAGGAGGTTGTTCTTTGGGTGGGCAGAATGTCAGCTATGCTGCTATATTGTTTATGGGCCCATGTTCGCTTTCATGACCTGTGTGCCAGTTGCTGCCGCATTCCTTTCTTTTTGGTTCTCCCACCCTCGTTATCAATGACCTTGTAGCCTGCCTGTGTAGTGTCTTCCCATCAATTAACCGTGTGACTAGTTTTGTTTCCCAGCCTCGGCTCTAACAGCCCTGGTCCTCCTTCCCGCCCACGGGAGTCAGGCCGATTGGCCCATAGGTGGTGGTGGGGGAACATTTGAATATCCTATATCTGCTTTCTATGTAGTAGTTATTCCTAACAATGACTGTGTCTATGCTACCATAGTGCTAGCAATAAAGTATAACCTTCAAGGAAGAGTGTGGTCTGTTGTTTGACTGTGGGTCCTGACAGGGACAGTTGGGAATTACATTCTGATCAACCACCACTTCCCCTAGAAAAATAGCTACACGGTGAAGATGGTAAAGATTGAGATCAGAGGGGCAAGGATAAATTTTCTCACCCTCCCCCCCCCAGTCCTCCTTAGTTTCCTGGGACTGGAAAGATCCCAGAATGGAATGATGGTCCCTGGAACCACATAAACTGTCATTTCACTCTGAGGCCTGTCATTCCAGTCCTGGAGACCTGATTCAATTCCTAGAGGCAATCATTCCAGTATGGGACCTGTCATTCACACTGCAATCCCATGTGCTGTCCTTCTACTCTGGGACCTGTCATTCCAGTCCCAGAACAATGTATTTGGTTCCAGGGCTGGTCATTCCACTCTGGGGGTTGTCATTCCAGTCCCAAAGCAGACTATCTGGCCCAAAGACTCACATTGTAAATCCATTCCACATTTTCATTGCAACTTTTGTGTGCTGTAATGTTGTTATTGTATGGCATTGCATGTAGTATTGCCAGGAGATCCTAAGATTGTCTGGCATCCAGAAGTTATAGCTCGTTAGTGTTGTGCACCACTAGGTGGCAAGGTAGACTTGTTTTTTAAAACAAGAGACGTTTCAGAGGTGGTTTGCCATTGCCTGCCTCTGCATCACTACCCTGGTATTCCTAGGAGGTCGGCCTTCCAAATACTAGCCAAGGCCAACCCTGCTTAGCATCCAAGATCTGAGGTGATCGGGCTAGCCTGGGCTATCCAGCTCAGGGCTGCTGTAATGTATTTCAGTGGAACTCATGAAAGTCAGTTGGCATTCCGGGCTCCC